ATGCCTATTCCACATTCTTCCTCAATTCAGAAGGGTTAATTAAGTGTCACAGGGTAAGCAAGGTAAGTTTTGGTGTATGCATACTAGTTCGGGGGAGGCGGTAACACTTCCTGCCCTGAAAAATCTGCCCAAGTTTTATTTGGATCTTCTCAGAACTGCTTTTTTCCCCTCTACCAGGCTAACGCTGGGCTTTCTTTCCTTTCAGCTCATGCCGTCCCAGCCTCTGATGAACAAGCTGAAGAAGGTTGTCCTTGCGTCCTTATTGGGCCTCAGTCTTTCAGATCAGAGGCCGTCACTTCTGCTGTTTTTCTCAGCTCTGGCAGGCAAAGAGCCAGGGGCACCGGTTGGCTGTAGGGAGAGCTGAAGCCCTTTGGTTGTCCTGTCCTCTTGCTCGTATCTTTCACAGCTAATCTGTCACATCGCGGGGTGTGACAAGGAGAACGCCACTAGCAGTCCGTTGTGCATCCATGTTGCCTTTGTACAAATAGTGTGGGCTTCGCCTCATGTCGCTGCTGTTAACCGCACCAGGAAGCGCTGTAAAGATGGTTGTAATTTAATCTGTATATAATAAAGAGAGGTTTATGTTGAATGTAGTTTTGAGTGAACTTGCAGCCTTCTCAAAAGATGTATTGGATTACAACCACTTTAAGGACTAGGTTAACTCTCAGCTAACCCTCTGCTTCTGCTCAAGAGGAAAGGTCTCTGTCTTATAAAACCTTTCACCTGCCAGCCAAGTGATAGATAACATTTTGGCAGTCTTTCAGAACTTATTAAAAATTGTATGTGTTGAGAAGAGGGGAGATAATGGTTTCTGTTTTCTGAATTACAGCTTTGACTATCAAGGGCACATATAAAGGTAAAGGTTCCCCCTTGACATTGAGTCATGTCCAACTCTGGGAGGTGGTGCTCATCTCCATTTCTAAGTCGAAGAGTCGGCGCTGTCTATAGACACCTCCAAGGTCATGTGGCCAGCATGACTGCATGGAGTGCTGTTACCTTCTTGCTGGAGCAGTCCCTTTTTCTGGAAGCATGTTGAGAATGGAGTGAATTTGGATTACATGGGGCCAGTCTCTTCTATCTCCTTTGCGTCTTCTCAGGTGTTGGGAGTCAGTCTTCTAGACGTAGGAGAAGCTGGCCCCATATAATCCAAATTCACTCCATTCTCAGTAGGCTACCGGGTATGCTTCTTGCTACATCTGCTAGTAAGAAGTAGGGGGAGATCTGGAATACCTCTAGCCCTTAAACTGCTCTCCTGTGCATTTAGGGATTGTGCCTTCGTACGTAAGAATTTATACACCCTTGTAGTCCATTCTGCAGGCATAAAAAGGTGATGCAAACACTCCTATTAATGTAGGAAGTGTGTGGTGTTGTCATTTCATAAAACCATGTATTATCTCAATGTTTGTTCTGATACACAACAGAGCAATGGATCAAGAAATTTTAAGATATTCTTTGTGGCCCCTGTGACTTGGATATGGGTGGTTCTGTGTCTGTGCAGAACCTGTCTTAAAACTTCAAGTACTCAGCAGCTAACAGCATGTACATTTTACGTTTCTGATTACAAGCATAAGCTTTAATAATATTAATACAGCCAGTCACAAGTAAGTAAAAACTATAACAATTTTAAAAGTGTCAAAGGCAAGTATCCGCATTGATTTTTTTAAAAAGACAACTGCTATTCCTCTTTCAACTAGGCAAGACCCATATAGGATGAGACAGAGAGGAAATGATTCAGAAGAGTTTGTAAAAAAGTTTTATTTGGTGTCTGAAGTGACATCAAAACTGTACAGATGTATGGAAAAAAAGTCCTGGGGCAATAAACAAAATGGGTGGGAGATAAGAGATCAGCTCCAGTCTTATCCAAGCTCCTCTCGCGTCTTCCCTATTTTCTTGGGCAGCTTCTTGGTAGAGGCATCTTCCAGCTCCTTGGACTTGTAGTAGTGAGGGGCCACCTCCAGCAACCACGTGCTGTCTATCTCTATGACCTACAAGGAAGAGAAGAGACTGTACTATGGGCTTAACAAGTGTTAGGGAAAACTACCCTAAAATATACAGCAGAGCATCCAAAATCAAACAGGATACTTAAAGTTGAGCATCAGCTCATTAGCGAGCAGAGCATGAAATGCCGTGTGATGTGGCTGTAAAAAATTCAGAGATTAGATAGGCAAAGATACAGAGTCCAATCTTAAAATTCACAAAAGGTTTATTTACAACAATAAGAAATAACTGCATTTCTTAATAATCAAGAACTGGGTCTGAGCTACTCTAACACCCATCTCTTCTAAGATTTCAAAGAGAAGGGGGAAAAAACCAATCACTACATCTTTCTGACACACACGCTGAAAGAGATCTCAAAGAACACAACACACACTCAAATGGAAGAAGCTAAATTCAAAGGAAAGGCTTGCACAAGAAAAGTATCCATTCTACACAATTTATCACAATGAGAGTAGAAAAAGAGAAAGAGAACAAAATAGATACATTCCCACTGTCATACAGGAGATATTAGGGAAGGGAAACCTACAGACTATTCTAAGCTAACCAAACTGTTCCTCATTGAGGACTTGAGACTTGGGCACTGTGGGGTTGAATTCCAATAACGTGAAGGATGCATTAAATGTAATATTCCACCTTTTTCTGAGGGAACGGAAGTGGCTAACAACAGATTAAAATACAGCTAGAGTAGGCATGGGCAAACTTTGGCCCTCCAGGTGTTTTGGACTTCAACTCCCACAATTCCTAACAGTTGGTAGGCTGTTAGGAATTGTGGAAGTTAAAGTTCAAAACACCTGGAGGGCCAAAGTTTGCCTATGCCTGTGTCATACAGTTACAAGATCCTAAGATGGACTTAGGATATTGTTAGCTGCTGGGGGTTCATAGTGTGCTTCTACACTAGGCATGAGCAAACTTGGGTCCTCCAGGTGTTTTGGACTTTAACTCCCACAATTCCTAACAGCCTACCGACTGTTAGGAATTGTGAGAGTTGAAGTCAAAAACATGTGGAGGGCAAAGTTTTCCCATGCCTCAGCTAGAGTCTATTTGATAAAAAAGGTTAAAAAGAAATTAAAGTTTACAAACTTCATCAATGCTCCCTCATTGTAGATGCAACTTGTTGTCTCCCATATTATTTTGCTGCTTGAATGAAAAGATTAGCTCTTGGGTCTCTCAGGGCCAAATATGACTGAACTGTAGCTATCCCACGCAACATGCTATCTCCAAAATACCTAGCTATGTCTATGATATGGATATGAATGTCTGTCCAAAAGACCCTCAAAAGCCTGCAATACTAACCTGTCTCATGAATTCTTTCGTTGTGAAGACCAGTTCATGATAGATGAGCCACCGTGGCTGTTCTTCAAATAGGGAACTGTTTGGGTGGACAAACACGGTCTGCTGGTGCTTAACTGTCTTGTAACCGCTGCGGGTAAGACGGGCCGTGTGATAGAAGAAACCAGCAGTGATGGCCTGCGGACAGAGGACAGTGGAGGCCGCAGAGTCAAGAGGGTTGTTGCTATTTGTACTGATCGTGACTAGGATGAATTATACTCTCAGGTGTTTTCCTATTCTTCCAGTGAAGGTGGGATTTGGCAACAATATAATATTTTTGTATCAATAGCATCTTAACCATTACTAATCTGCTCTATTTGTTTTAATGATTCTGCTCTAAGCACGACTAAGTCTGGCTCCAACCCATCACATTCTTTTTTGTTTTACATTCATGAATGTTTATTTATTTATTTAT